ATTGCTTTCGTGTCGTGGGGATTCTTAATTTTTTATCGACACTATTAGAAACGTGTGACTGACTTGATTTGTGTGGGTTTTTTTAAGGTATCGGGTGTACCTCTCAAGGTCAAAGTACGAAACCAGATCAACATGGCGCTGGGTACCATCGACCATATGGCCCACGTGAAGCAGTTCAGCAACATGGTTCTCCCGCTGCTGTGGACTGAGATCGTAAGTACACATCCCCATCTCCCACGCATGAGGAAAAGTGGGGAGAAGGCTGTGTCGGTTGGGTGGCCGACCGTCCCGGCGGACGCACGTCTCACCACCTCGCCTCTTTTGTTTCGTTTCGCAGGGCATGGAGGAGCTGCCGCCGGGGATGCGGACGCGGTTCGTCATCTACATGGTGATCCTGCCGGTGGTGACGCAGGTGCTGCAGTGGGTGAGCCTGGTGGGCGGGGCGGCGCTCGTGTGCGCGTCGCTGCTCGCCGCCTTCTGCAACCCGTGCGCGCCCGTCGAGGACGTGGAGACGCGGCGCAACTCGCGCGCCTGGCTGCAGCAGGACACCGACGTCAACAACAAGTCGGTGCGCAAGCAGCTGCCCGAGCTGCTCATCGTGGAGGCGGAGCGGCAGGCGGCGCACGCGCTCAAGCACGGCATGGCGCGCGAGCGCGAGATGCAGGTGTACCGCTCGCTGCTCGCGCCCGACGACGCCAACGAGGTGTCCGGCTCGTCCACCGCCTCGTCGCGGAGGACGTCGTTCGAGCAGGCGTACTGCTAGGCCTCGCCCGTGCCCGCCTCGGCGCCGAGGCTTTGGCTGACAGTATTATGGACTCGATGAGCACACCCCGCTGGCGGGGGCGGTGCCGGCCCGGTGGTCCCCCCGACTGACCGAAAGCCCCCGGGACCCCCTGTGTGAACGCCAAAGGTCGCGGTGGGGAGGGCTTCGCTTCCCTTCCTGCCGGGAGCCTCGCTGGGCCTCGCGCGCGCTGGACCGGGAGCGGGACTCCTGGGACGCACAGCCCGCCAGAGTCGACTGTGTGTTGGGATGCATGAGCTAAATGGCCATCTTGCTCCAACTTGTTGCTCAATTGTGAAGTTTTTGTTGTTATCTCTGTCTCCTTTTTCGATTGGAGGGAAAGTCTGTGATGTGCTACTCTTGCCTGGGTAAAGTAGTTGTATGGGTAACATGACATTTTAGGATGTGATTTTTTTTATTGTACCTTGACTACTTCTTATTTATTGATAATGTTTATGTGTTAAGGATGAGATTTTCTACAAATCCCTGTGTAAATAGTTTCTGTTGATGTACAACATTCTACTTATTTACACAGCTCTCGCATTACCATCCTGCTAAAAACATGATTTTAAATGTGAAATTATGAGATACCAAAGCTGAATTGTTTAGCAGCGGTAAGACGAGGGTTCAGGATTCAACAGTTAAAACAGGGTATCATATGTGTAACTAATGTGCATTTCTAGGGTAGTTTTAGTGTGCTTCAGACTATTTGTTGAACACTGCAGAAGTTTGTTTAAGATTGATATGTCCCTTTGGCCATGTTATTCTAGCAGTGAATCAGTGAATCTCATTAAATTTGAGCTGACAGAGCACTCACATTGTAAATACTGCTCATCATCTCAATTTTTCCTAACACCGAAAGCTTGTTTTTTGAGACATAGTGCAAATTGTAATGTGTGGGCCTAATACTGCTTTTTCAAAAATTGGAGCCTTATTTGAATCTAGTCTGAAGCAACGCCATATTTAGGAATTTTTAAGCCAATTTAATTAAATTGGTAAGGCTGTTTGTTAATTTTGGTTTTACAAATGCTTTCAAAGTTTGTTTGTTTTTCTGTTAAATACATTAAAACAGATTTTCATATGACAACGTCACTTGAGGTCGATCCATGAGCACATCGCCATTATTGCGTATCTCTGGGCTGTCCCTATGATACCTGAGGTTCTCGGCTTCCCAAATCTATTAGTGAAGAACTACTAAGCAATTTAAAGATAGGTATCTACAGTAACTCTGCTTATGTGTTTCTTACTAACAATATTTTTGAAGGTGTACCAATTGTGTAGTGATTCTTTTGATCTGTAGGGGAGTCGAGCTTTAGTTAATCCGTAGTTTATAGGATCGTTTTCTCATTGTATAAATCGTTTGTCCCTCTCTTTTTTCTTGTGTTTACACACTCTCTCTCTCTCTCCCTCCCAGTGTTTATAAACATACAATTTTGTAAATCACGAATTTTGAAAGTTTGTTTATTTAGAAATTAGTGTTATATGTGAGCGTACTGGTAGCTCATGAATGGTTTTTCAAATAAACGTATGATAACAATTTTTAAAATGAAAAGAATGTGACGCAATAAATATGGGAAAAGATAAATTTTTGTTTTGTTTATTCACACCTTTCCATTAAATTCTTCACATGTAACACTTTGAATTCTCATCCACCCTATGAACAACTTAATTTTAACAAGTTTGAAATTTTAATACTGTTATTATTACTGCTTGTGAGAGAACACAGCAGCTCAGAAACCAATACTTCCTCAAACACTTACTACTCACTGGCACTTACACAAAGTATATATACAAGACAAGTATGCAGAGTCACCTGCTCTTGCGTAAGTACGGTGGGTGGTAGCATGCGTAAATACTACTGACTTAAGACTACGGGAAAATCACAGCACTTTTTATCTAGCATTTAGTCAATTTGTTACACCACTAAACTTTCATGGGTACAGCATTTTTAAAGCTATTATCTCTCATGTGCTTGTGCCTTTCAGTTTCCCTTGAGATCTAAGGTCTTACCTGGGTCTAACATAGGCAACTTTGGTATATTTTGACCCAAAGAAGCACACAAGGCCTTTCTTGCAAATTAACAACAGACAGGTATGCAACCCTCTTACAAAGTTCTCCTAAATTTGGTATTTAGGTGCAGTTTACTACAAAATAAAGCGAGGAATCACATCATCCCTCCTAGTCAGGATAAATCTTATCTAACGGCACCTTTGAGAATACTCTGTTGGCGATTTGCTTAAAGACCTCACCAAATCCATCGGAAATAGCTGGCTTGAGTTCCTTCAGAACTTCAGCTGAGTTCTCGTTGAGGAAATGGTTCATTGTGGAACCTGATAAACCACATTAGAAAACATTTTGGTTAAGTTAAATGTCAGAATTGCAATGTAGAATAATATCATAGTAATTCACAATCGTGGCATACCCAGCTCCTTGTTTCCGTTGAAGAGGTTCTCGAAGTTGAGGGACAGCTTCTTGGTCTCCAGGGTGAAGGCGAAGGTCGTCACGTTGAAGAAGGTCTCGGAACCGCGTTTCACCGGAACACCCCTAATGTCAGCCCTCAGCACGGGGTCAGCTGCAAAGCACCATTTTCATTAGGAACATTTCGGATTTCATTCGCCGTGGACTTTTTTGTGTGTATGTGTAAGAATTTAAATGAGATGCACGCAAAAGTGTGCAAGCCTTCTCACCCAGCTTGAGGTGGCAGTGACCGTCACCGTTGATGGGGAGCACCAGGACCTTGCCCTTGATGCTGTACTGGCCGTCCAGGGTCAGGCCGGTGGGCACGTGGAGCGAGGCAGTGATGTCGTACGTCTTGGGGTCGATGCTGCGGGGTAAACGATTCCATTGTTAGTCATCAAGGAGCCCGTTTGACGGCGACCCCGCGCGTGGGCGGCGGGCGCTGACCGGGTGGTGGCGGCGGCCACGGCGCCTGCGAGGTGCGGGGG